CGAAAAAAAAAAAAAAAAAAAAAAAAAAAAAAGAAAAGAAACGAACTGGAAAAATAAAGAGGCGGAGACCGATTAAGTGGGAGCAGAGAAAAGTGGCTTTGTCTTCTCATATATCTATGGCTCGTGTCTATTTTAAGGGGGAGGGGGAGGAAAGGGAGAAAGGAAGACCGGATGACTCTGAAAAGAACGAAGTGGATCAGAGGAATTCGGTGACACCGGTCGGATTAACGAAGAATGAAAAGGGATTCGGAAATTTTCTCTTCGCCCGAATTCCATTTTTCACTCTTGGAGAGGCCTAATAGACATGTTTATGTTTCTGGGTTGTTTATGGGCCTACTTCGTACTAATACGGATTTATCAATTTCGCGTTACTTCGTCGTCGCTTTGTAATCGGGGATCTGGAAATAATTTTCAATCGACGATGCCTTTTTATCGTTATATGTTATCATTGTAATGTATTAGAATAATTTCTATTCGTTCAATATTGTGATTATTCGAGAAGAAAAATTCTAAAGGTTAATATTTTTTTTTCTTTTGAGATTCGTAAATTTAATTTAACGAATTATGGATAAATTGTTAATCGTTCATTCTATGAGAAAAAAGTACATATCTTGTGTTTATATCTATCAATGCTTTGATCTTTAATTAAGAAATAAAGCAAATAATTTTTTCCCCCGAAAAGATGTAATTAATCATACGGATTTTTCGCATTGCTTCGTCGTCGCTTTGTAATCGGGAATCTGGAAATAATTTTCAATCGACGATGTCTTTTTATTGTTATATGTTATCATTGTAATGTATTAGAATAATTTCTATTCGTTCAATATTGTGATTATTCGAGAAAAGAAATTCTAAAGGTTAATATTTTTTTTTCTTTTGAGATTCGTAAATTTAATTTAACGAATTATGGATAAATTGTTAATCGTTCATTCTATGTGAAAAAAGTATATATCTCGTGTTTATATTTAAATCAATACTTTGATCTTTAATTAAGAAATAAAGCAAATAATTTTTTCCCCCGAAAAGATGTAATTAATCTGAATATATTTGAAAAGATCGAAAATAATTTTTCACTTTAACTAGAAATTCACTAGGTCGAGATATTTTCCAGTTCGTTTGTTGAATAATTATTATTTGTTGAAATCATTACTTGCAAATTATTTATTATCAAGCGTTATTATCAAGAATCAGATTTTCGCGTATAAAAATAATTCTGGTAGAAGAAAAAATAAGAAAGGAACAAAAGGGACGCACAATTGCGAAATCTCGTCGGTTGATCTTGATCTTTTGAAATAGTCTGAGAAACGAGTGCACTTTATCGTCGATTCGTTTAACGCGAGGATCTTAATTTCCTTTTTTTCCCCCTTCTGTTCGAGGGAGGATATCGCATTTGTGCGAAAGAAACGTGGTGGAGAGGTCACGTGAAGCAGTTACGTTGGCTTGATTAATACGATTCGTGCGCGAAACTTGAAGATGCGTAGGGACGATGAAGAGTAATATAAAAACTTGAAAAATTTAACGGGTTATATTTTAAAATCCACTCCACCACTCATGGATGATTAATGTTGCTCGCTTCCTCACTACGAATTTCCACGCTGGTTTGCATACTATAAATAGTTCTTCTCGAGTATAGAGAAAGAAAGAATAGGATGGAATTTCTGGATTTTTTCATAATATTTATAAATTTTTAAATATTTGGATCATTGAAATGTATCAAGAAATGTATCTTTGTCTGTAACGCGTTCAAACAGCAAGGTTTTGAATAATATCGATGCTCGAGTAAAATTCTTATCTGAATTTTGAATATTGGCAAAGTTAGGGATAATTTGAATAGAAGTTTGAATACTTTATGACGTTCGTTTGTTATCTCGTCGAGAATTCTTCGTCGTAATTATGGGAAAGAAGAAGACATTGCGTTTTAAGGCAAAGTTAAAGAAATTTATTAGTCGAATTTCAAAGAGAATCTCTCGTCTTATCTTTATCTTCCTCTAAAATTTCCTCCTGTCACGTTTCCCATCTTTCTTACGAGAAACATATATTTTATATCTATTTATTACAAATGATCGAAACGAATGGAATTCACCAAAGTTTTTAATAACCGATATAAAGATTCTTTAATGTAATATTCATCGTTACATGCTCTAAGAAGTAGCACACGATATTTCAATGAATCAATGATATCTTTTCGCAAGTCAAATGACAGTTGTTCAATTTATCAGAGTTGCCTGAATTTTCCATAAATGCCAAACGAAATTTATCATCAGAAAAATAGAAGCAGACGATCGCCTACACTTTCTTTCTGATTCCAACGTAAAAACGCTCAATTTCTCATGAAATTCCGTTAAATAATAACATACATTGTATCGCAATATTACAAATAATATTTCAAGATACTCGTTGAAAGCTCGTCGCATCGAAACAGGAAGCAGAAAAATCATGTTCCAACAACCACGTGCCAATTTCAAAATTTGTTCCATTTCTTTTTTTTTTTTTTCATTTTTTCCGTCATGTTCATCAAATTTATCAATGTGAACGACAGCGTGACAGCGCGACGTCGAGCTGCGTCGATATCACGGAAGGGCCACGGTATCGATTTTTAACGGATGTCGGCGCGAAAGATGGCCAGCAGAAAATCCAGCCGATCGAACCGCTCGAGCGAATCTTTAAATTGATTCCTCTGCGAATAACCTTCCGATTCTTGCGCGACACGATGACCCAGTCAAGCGTTTTGTAGAGAATGATGAAATATTAGCCCTGCTTCGTAGAAAATTATACGTAATTTTATCCTCGAACACGTTTTCCGCGTTTAAACCGCTTCGACTCGTCGATCGAGGACTCGTGACATCCGATGATTTGGAAAAATGGGTTGAAACGCGTTCGAGGATACGAAGACGAATTATCTCATAGTTCAAGTCTCGTTAATTTTTCGATGAAATGATTAAAAAAAGGGATTTAATTGATGAAATTGAAGAATTCGTTTTGGAAAATATTTCAAAATCGTAAGAGACGCTTTGACGAGCCAATGAGTATGATCTTTCTCTTCTTTCTTGGAAAGAAACATTCACGAAATTTGTCTCCCTCTATCGGATTTCTATCTAAGATTCAGAAAAAAGGTTGGTCCATTAAACTTTAACGCATCCGGCAAGAGCCTCCTCCCGTTTCTCATCTTCTCTATTATCATCTTTTTCTTCTGAATTCTCTGGATACGTATAGGATACATAACGCAGAGATCTCAAAGAGGTCTTGTTCATGGACGAACATTGGAGGCAAAGACGCGAATGTAAGAACAAAGAAAACGTATTTAAAATCGTTCTAATTGCGAGATAGGTTCTTGCATCACGATGAATTTTCATTTTACAAAGGTAAAGATTACAAAGGTTGTGAGACGGCCTGAATACCCGTTTCAGTTACCTTCTTCCTTCGAAATTCCCAAGAAAAGAATCGCTCTTCCTGTTCTCGATTCTATCCCCGAACAACGGGTTTTTGCGGGTGTTGTTAACTTCCACAGAGACGAGAGGTACTTTGGGTTACACGTACAACGTATGTTCCGATGCTCTGTATAATGCTCTTTGGCTGGGATGAAATGGGCGAAGAGAGAAAAGTGCTTACGGTGGAGAAATATCGTTGCCTCTTGGAAATGGATGACGTTAATTTTATGCTGGATTATTGTTATCAGTTGGGAACAGTGATGTGACAGGTTATGAGACTGGGTTTGTCGTATGTTTTGATAAAGAATCATGAGATGTGCGATAAGCTTTCCTTTCGTTAAATTGTTTTTTGAATAAGTGAACTTTTCTTATTGGAATTAATATTTTTGTTGTATATTTTTATTGTATTTTTTTGTATTCTGATATACGATTTATTCGCTGAAGTTTGATGAAACGATTACTCAAAGATCATTTAAAAATAAATAAGATAAATAATGCGATATCTTTTTTTCGTTTCTTGAATTCTGAAAACAGTTCAGTAAATTTGTCAAGCTTCTTTCAAGATTCTGTTTCCCAAAAGACAAGCAAAAATAAGATGCGTTAATTTGCACAAAAATTTTTTGAATAAGTGAACTTTTTTATTGGAATTAATTTTTGTATTCTGACTATATGACTTATTCGCTGAAGTTTGATGAAACGATTACTCAAAGATCATTTAAAAATAAATAAGATAAATAATGCGATATCTTTTTGTCGTTTCTTGAATTCTGAAAACAGTTCAGTAAATTTTTCAAGCTTCTATTTCCCAAAAGGCAAACAAAAATAAGATGCGTCAATTTGCACAAAATTTTCTCGTTCGATCAAATATTCTTTGAAGATTAAAAATTTCATTGATCGATATACCGAATCGAATCCCCATAAGGAGATTTCACGGTTGAATAGTTTCAAACGATGTTTCCCCAGGGTGAATGATACAATCTTTAAACTTTTGTACTTGCATTTTTTAAGAATCGAAGTTGTTAAGTCTTTAATATTGTTCGTCCTGAGGGAGGACGTCGTTCGTTTCTCGTCGTTCGAGAGCGAACGTAGAAGTGAAATTCTTTTGTGCGGTTCTTTTATTAAATTCTAATTCTTTTTTTCCTTTTTATCGTTCTAATATTCGATGTAGAAAAAGAAACAGGACGGAGAAATTGGAGGAGCGTGGATAAGGTAAAGAATACGGTGGAAAATGATAAACTCTCGAGGGATGATTTTTCAAGAAGAAAATGCTCAAATTTTCTCTAATCTCTCATCGAATGGAGGACGTAGGGAATAACTTGAGGATTGTATAATTTCAATGTTTCTCGTAAAAAAAAATCATTTTAATTTTAAATAACTATTTTTCAAACACTAATTTTTCCACATAATTTAGATTAGAATTACATTGACCAAAATATTGTTTCTGGATTATTGTTTCTGGATTAAATTTAATTATATAGAGATATTTGTTTCGTTCAGAAGAATATTCGAATATTTGTAATTTGTACGAGTCTTAAGTTTGCTGTTTAAAATTGTAATACGTGACACACATACCTGCGGTATTCGAAAAAGTCGGAGAAGGTTTGCCACTTGGATGGATGTGACTGAGCTTGCTGCTCCAACGACTCCGCTGATAACTTTTCGCACGGCAGTTTTATTGCAATGATCCTCGGCACCGTCTATATTGCTTATCGATCCTGAAACACAAATCGTATATTACATGATATTAATTTTTCCCATTGAATACGTACGAGATTTTTTTGCATATATTTATCTTTTTTTTCCGACTTGTTCGTCGGAATGGAACTATGTACATTACATTTTACAAAATGTAAATGTAAAATAAATATAAATGTAAATTTTAATTTCTCTACAAATGTATGTATATTTGAATGATAAACAATGTTACAATGTTGGTTGGATCTTAACTTTCGACTTTCCATATCAAAGAATACGTTCAATTGTTTCGTACATTTTTAAAGGTGCTACATCGAATTTCTGTAGTTTTTTCCCCCCGGTTTTTTGAATTCCAACCAAGTGATTTACATTTGAAAGAAGATGGATTATGTAAACTCGTTCATTGAAAATTCATCAGAAAAATGTATCTTTGTACGTATGCGAAATTTAGAAAGGAAAATCTTTTTGTTCTTCCTTCGTTTCCACTCCATGCTATCTAAATACATTTTTCATTGTCGAATATATGTCACATTCAAATTAAATAGGACAATATTAAGAATCTTGTTCAATATACATTAATAGTTAATTCTACAATATAATAAAACAAAAAGAAAAAAAAAAGAAAATAATCCAATGTTAAGAAAAAAAGAAAAATAAAAGATAGAAAAATCTTTAAAAATGCATTATTTTTTAAATTGATATCTCAGAATTTTTCGTGCAATTCAATTAAAGCCAATTGTTAAGCATGTGCATTATTTTTATTTCTCCTGAAGAATATAATTTTTTATTTTTATTAATTCTTAATAAATTTCATTCCAAAAGGGTAAAATAATTAAAATTTACATTCATGTTTGTTTGTTATTAATATTTATATAATAATTCTTTCTTGAAAATATATACGATATAAAATACTGATTCAATATCTGTCACCGACATGGCTCTGTAGGTCACACGATGCAAGGTTAGGTCAGTTAGGGGTAGGTCAGATGACTCGTGATCACGTTCCACCAACTTTCTACTTATTCGCGAATCGAAGTTTCGCAATTCGAAAGTTTTCTGATTCATTCAAAGGAATATGGCACGTCGAAATGACACATAAGACAGCATCAGATATTTCTCTGATCTTGATGTTCTTTTATGTAGATGTTGAAGTAGTGATTTTTTTAGCGAATAGAAATCTTACTTCTCTGCATCATACGAAATATCTGGATACAAATTTTCATTATGTTTAGAAAAAGGGAGGGAGGAAGGGGAAAAGCCAATAAAATCTTTTCGTTCTTTCTTCGTTTCCTCTCCATGCTATCTAAATACATTTTTCATTGTCGAATACATGTACAGTCACACTCAAACGACAATATTAAGAATCTCGTTCAATAGTAGTTAATTCTACATTATAAAGAAGATGATTTCTTGCTTCCAAGACAAGATATAAATTTTAATGAAACGTTGCGAATAATTTTGGAATTATAAATACGTATAATAATTTTGCAAGAATTGGACAAATTGGAATTGCGAGATATAAATGATATAAATTTTAGAGTAGCTCGTTCAAAATTCACCCGACTCGATACTCGTTTTAATTCGTTTGTACACTTTCGAAAATTGTGTATCCCTTGGAACGAACGTAATTCTAAGTTTTGTATATCTTTTCCAAAGTAGAAGGAAACGTGGCTTGCAGTTCGGTACCACGTGACGGAATTCCAGATGACTTCTCCCTCCCCTTCTTCCGATTTTCGGAAGAGACTCGAATTACAATTTTACGCTTCGCTTGTGCTTTACAGGGCTTTTGCTACGTGACTCTATAACGTACGTGCTTGTTTAACTTTTGCTGAAACGCACACGTGTCCTCCGCGTTGTAATCGCGACACATTCCCTCCTAATATAATCCCTGAATTTTGAATAAAGTGCTTTTCAGAACAATCCTTCTCTCGTTATAATAATAATTTCTAAACGTTTTATTCGATCGGACAAAGTATTTTATTCTCATAAATAAAAAATTTTTTCTCTCGTGAAACGAAGCGAATTTTTTCTCTTGCGAATTATTTTCACTTTCACTTTCGTTCGATATTGAATCGTTGATTTGTTTCTCGTTTTTTCTTTAACGTGTTAAATGTCAGTCTTCCTTTCGTTTAATCGCCATCTCTTCGGGGAGAAATTGTTAAAATCTTTTTCGCGTAAATTTGTTAGAAAAATGAGTTGCCCGTTAATATTATTCGTGGACAATTTCCTGCCACAAGTTTTCGAAGTCTCATCGAAAAGTTGAAACAGTTGATAAATCAATTTCGTAGAAAACTTCGATAAGAAAAGATAATAACGAAGGTGATGGATTATGGGAAAGAAACTTCTAATTTTGTTTAAAAATTAAAGTATTTGAAAAGTCGACGCAACAACAATTTGATAAAAAAATTTCTTTGAGGTCGTTAAATTAGTTGATATAGTTGTTGCAGTGTTCCAAAGTAGCAAAGCATGCCGCAGCAAACTTCACCGCAAGCCAGCTTACAAATGTTCGTAACAAGATAATAAATCTTATAAAAGGAACGTCTTCTCTTCAATTACTCTTGTCTGCAATTTCATTGCGGCAATTTATACGCTCGTATCGTCTTCGCATCAACCGTTTCTGTTTAAATAAAAAATTTAAAAAGTTCAAGTATTTCGTTTCTTACGTCGTTGCATCGATATTCGATTGGATATAAATTTTACTTTTAATCATATTTTGATATATCATTTTGCATTCAATTCGATACACAATTTGATCAAAAACTTGAAAGTCGACGAATATTTGAACAATCCTCCGTCCCTTTTCATTCGATCGACATTTTCTCGACTAGGAGAGGAGTATCATTTAATAACCCTTTTCGAAATAATTATTCTCCACTTGTATCTTGTAATTGCAATTAATCGATCGATCGAATTGTTTCGTCATCAACTAACGAAGATTAATCGATGTTCTTTGTTAAACAAATTTACAAGATGTAATGGAATTTATCGGCGCGTGATCGATAGCACTGACATCTATTAGAAATTTAATTCATTAAGAGTCACTCGTGATGAATACCCCTTAATTAAAACTCTTCTCTTCGATCATAATATACTTTTTTATTTAATTAAGATTAGATTAAGTTATCGAGATATTAACAAACGTACAAGTCGCCAAGCTTTTCGAAGGATTTCGAAAATTAATTAATTAAGTCGATTCAAAATTCATGGTATCGGTTGATGGAATAATATGGTCGATTTTATTCGATATTCTCGTTACGCTTCGTATCGATCGATCGTTGTCAATCGGCCGCCCTGATCCACGTTTTGAATTAATATGATAATGAGCCAGATTTATGGGTCGCGTTGCAAATTGTTTCGTTATTGCTTTCATCTCGAATCGATTAATCAGTTTATCGTGATTGCGGAAATATCGACAAAGAAACAAATTTACAAGATTTTACACGATGTAGATAAATTATAGTACTAGAAAGAGAGAGAGAGGAATGTATATTTTATATTTTGAAAATTGAAAAATATTAAATTATTAGAATAATTTTATATTATCTTGTTCTATTGCCTTGTCTAAGTTAAAAATTTACATATTTTACTATTTTAATAATTGAAATTGAAAATGTTTTAAAATTTCTTTAATATATTATTCATAGATTACACAAAACTTTTAATAGTGACAAGATTTTATCACGAATAATATAAAATGAAGCATCAAGTTTTTTTAAAAAAAAGTGAATGGCAATTATTACCAACGGTAAAAACACAATTTGCTTAATGAAAAAGTCGATAACCTTGAAAATCGCGAAGATAATTTCAAATGGAATTTTGTAAGAGATATAAAAGTAAAAAAGAAAAGGAAAAAATTAATTATTTAAATGAATATCGATCGTCAATTTATTTCCGTTATTAATCTTAAAAATTTGCTCGTTCGTTCACATTAACCCTTACGATGTAAAAGTTTCTATTCCGGCTCGTCTGGCAGAGTGGTTCGCGTAGAGTAGTTTCGCATGTTACAGTGGCACCTGTTGAATCATACTGGCTTATATACCCGACCTAACTATTCGAGCACCGATACCGGGAACAAATCGTTGGAATGGAAGAACATTAAACCCACCCTTTCGTAATTTACGACGTTATGCTAAAATTTCGAGGCCGTGGCGATGATCGTGGCCGGCATTCAATCTGCGAGATTCGTTTACGATATTGAATCGAGCCGTAAAATTGCACACACGAGCCCGCTAAACCATTTATCCTGATGCAATATTCACCACGTTGTATTGTATCGACATTAAAGCCTCGCGGACCGTGAAATTTGGTTAAATTTTATTGTCGAAATTCATGCGATCCGGTGTCCGTTAATTAGCGGTTTGCATTACTTAATATCGTGAATCTTGGAAACTTTATATTATATCGGTTTAAATATCAGTTATGTAATATAATGTAAAATGTTGTAAAATGTTGTAATAAGCGTATTTTCTTCTTCTTCTTCTTCTTCTTTCTGCACGATACTACATAGTGATTTTTTATTAAGATAGGCAAATTTCTAGGAGAGACGTATAGTAGAAAAATATATAATTAAGGGGCGCTTTAATCCTTCGATGTTTAATGACTCGTGTGCATTTTATAAATTTTATCACTGAAATTTGCGAATTTTTATCGTTAATTATTAACCGGCGATAATAATTGAAAGATAAAGAAAAGAGAGAGAGAGAGAAAAATTGTAGAAGAAATGATTTGAATAATGGAGGACTTTAAGAGGATTAAACGTTGCGCTCAACGTTTTATAATAACAAATTGGGTCGCGTTTCGTTCATTATTTAAATGCAATTTCACTTTTGTTTTCATTTTTGTATTTTTATCCTTATTTTGCGTCTTGTATCCTCTCGATCCTTTGATACCATGAAAATTCCACGGTCCAGATCTTTGTATAATTGAAACCGTTTCCAGGCTTAAATTGTGGATAATAATTTCAATGTTTCTCTAGATCAATATAACGTGGTATCAAGATATTTTCAAACTTTCTGAAGAA